TAACATATTTTTTGGAGTGAAATAGCAAAAATATCACAAATATACTGATTTTTATTCTTATATATAATGTCCAAGACATGATAAAATCATATATACAAGTTTGTTCATTGCTGAGAATTTTTATAAAAATAAAAGTTGAAAATATTGTTACTAATCTGTAAAAATACTACTTTTTTGGCTTTATCTTTTTGAAATCTTCTTACTTCTGCATTGAAATTTATTTGAAGAGGGAAAATGGAGGAGGGATTTAAGGTTTTGGATGTGTGGTGAGTTTCAGGTAGGAGAGGCTTTCCCTAAAGAGGGTTGTTTTTATTTTATATTATTTTAATTAAAATTTAATTATTTTTAAATTTAAATAAGTATTTTATTTAAAATATTACATATGTGTCAACATATTATAAGTTAAAAGATATATTTAAACGAGACTAATAAATGGGTTTAAAATAATGACAGAAGAATAGTTTAGGTACCTGGTTTGATCAAAAATTAATTTAGGCATTTGAAACAAAAAAGCAACATAGTTTGAGGCTGGTTTTTCATTTAAGCCTAGAAATCAACAACCCTTTCCTTGAAATTGTAATAGGCCCTTAAAAGGTTTTTAGTTTGGATGAGTCATTTTTCAAGATTTTGGGGATCAAGTTTGGGTAAAATTGGGGCCCGAGAAAAGATACGCTCACGAGTAGTTTCTTCCTAAAGATCACTCCCCCTTTACTTCTTCATCTTCACACTCTTCACTAAACTCAAGCTCCTTAATCTTTTTCACAATCATATAAACCCTTTATTGACATGGACATTGGGAAGCATTCATAAGCACAAATTTCAGTACTCTTCGATTCATTCTTCTCTTACGGAAATATGACAACATGTAGACCTATTTCATCTTTTCTGGAAAATATCTCAAACACCAATTCATCATTAAAAAAAAGAAGTAGAAAAAAAGATGGACATGCATTATGTATATGAAGAGTTTAACCAAGTAAACCGGTAGGAGGAGCCAGCGTTATAAGAGGGTTTAATAAAAATATTTTTGAGGGTCAGCAAACATATATTAAGAACATCAAATTATTGTATATGAGTGAGCAAAAATAAAATCTTAAGATAAACACAATCAATAATACTGATAACTAATAGAAAAAAATGGAGTTTAGAGAGAAAAATCCAGACGTTAGCATATAAATTGGGCACTGGATTTAGTTATGGGGTGTGAAGTGATCAAAGTGGAGACAGGACATCATGGAAGCATATGCAGCGGCACATCACATGCATGACGCATTTGTATTATATATATATATATATATAATGGGTAAAGCTTGGAGCTGGGGATTCACGTCGGTCAAGCCATCAGAAAGCAATGCTTCGATGATACGAAGACAGCACAGGCGCCTAACAAGGCCAACCACGAACTTGCCAAGTGTTGTTTTGGATAATATGCACTTACCCTCCAATTTCTCTTATTATTCATTTCAAATAATCATTATTAAAATCATTTGATAATTTAATAATTAAATATTAACTCCCATTTTCTTATTACTTATATTTGATTTCTTGAAATTTCCTTCTCATAAGACATGGAAATTAAGAAGGCGAATAAAAACGTTAGAAGAGACACCATAATCAACGGCGGCGGTTACCAGCAGTGCATGCATAATGCGAATGCATGGGTGGGGGCTTAGGGTTGTTGATTGTGTACTTTTATGAGCTGTTTCTCGAGGTTCAAAATAAGTCGGGTCCTGCTCTCAAGCTGAAGCCAATCACATTTAGTTTTCGATTCAATAAATGGTGGCGGCCACTCTGACCACACTTCTACGTACCCGCCTTGTCCCCTCTCCATAATATATTTTACATTCTTTCTATATATATATATATACACACACACACTTAGTACATTCATAGAGATTTTCTTTTTCAAAAGCTAAATCCAACTTTTAAGTGTTGGTTATGTGATAAATTTAAGAAGTATATTGAACACTCGTCACCGTTTTAATATCGTTTGTGGAAAAACATCTCAATGTCTTAAAAAAGAATTAATAATTAATTTCAATCTCCTTTAACATAAATTTTAATTTTGATTCATTTAAAAATTTATAATTTTATCTCGACTACGCATTATACAAATTACTAAATCTGTATTAGTGATTAATTAATATTGACATATCTTGATCCAAGGTTTGAATTCTACTCCCTTCTCAGATTATAAAATATATATATTAAGCTGTAAAAGTTAAAAATGATGGAATAAACTTATCCATCATGGGGGTTAAAAAAAACAAAAATAAAACAATTCGACCACATATATATATATATATATATATATATATATATATATATATATATATATTACATTTCAGAAGAAGATTACGGCGGAGGGAAAACCGATTATGAGTAAAATATGGAAGGATGAAAAGGTTAAAACTAAGGCAAATACCTAGATCTCAAACTCAACTGGATAGCATAAGTTATAGAAAATAATATGTGTCGGTGTCGGTCTATATTCCAAAGTCGACAAGAAAGGAATGTAAGATTACCAGTGGGAATATAAGATTATCAGATAATATGATTACTGAGAATGTTGTATTTTGTGTTTGGTTGACTTAGCAGGAATGTAAGATTACTTTGGTTAAATGAATAAAAGATTATTAGAATGTATATTTGACCAAATTATCCTTAATATATATTTGTTTTTTTAACAAGTTGGAAAATATTTATATATTTTCTTTAAAAAATTAAATTCATAAAATTTATATAATTTTTTTACAAAATTAAAAATATAAAAAGGCTTAATGAAAGGGTAAAATTTTATTTTAATCCCTGAACTTCATATAAAATTTTAATCAGACTTTTTTTGTAAATCTAAAATAGTTTAAGGATAAATTTATAATTTAACATTTGTAGAATTTTTATTATTCAATGACAGAAGAATGATATTTTTGAAAAAAAAATTAAGGGTATTTTAGTTCAAAACTCCGGTAATCCAACAACACCTAAGGGGGTGTTTGGTTCAAGGATTGTGGGATGTTTGGTTGGCCGGGAATCTCATTCCCGGTAATGTTTTATTACCAATAGAAGAATTTTTAGGGTATATTACCGGGAATGTCATTACATCCATTCTCTTAGGTATTGTAACATTACCGGCGTTTTGGACTAAAATGCCCTTAAATTTTTATTTTTTTTCAAAAAATATCCTTTTTCTGTCATTGAATAACAAAAATTCTACGAAAGTTAAATTATAAATTTATCCTTAAATTATTTTAGATTTATAAAAAAAATTTATAATTAAAATTTTATATGAAGTTCAGGGGTTAATTTTTTTTTACCCTTTCATTAAACCTTTTTTTTATATTTTTAATTTTGTAAAAAAATTATATAAATATTATGAATTTAATTTTTTAAAGAAAATATATAAATATTTTACAATTTGTAATATTATACAAAATATATAATAAGGACAATTTGGTCAAATATACATTCCAATAATCTTTTATTCCTTTAACCAAACATGATAATCTTACATTCCTGCTAAACCAACCAAACACAAAATACAATATTCCCAGTAATCCTATTCCCTGGTAATCTTTTATTCCCACTGATAATCTTACATTCCGTGAACCAAACGTACCCTAAGAAAAGTAAGGTAATGACATTCCCAGTAATCTTACATTATCGAAAATGAAATTCTCGTACTAACTAAACAAGAGAATATAGATTTTATTTAAATGAGAATCACATTCTCCATCCAAACTTCCCGAATGTTTACGTCTAATATCCTCAAAATGTATAATGTCTGAAAATAAAGAAAGAAAAATCGTGAATCTGTGACTATGACTATGACTATGAGGTTGAATCTGAACAGGAAATGATGAAGAACCAGAAAAGGCACGAGGTTAGTGGCACGACCACAATGGCTCCACTCCACTCTGTTGATTTATAATTGAAGTGCGGCTGTAGCTGTACTTGTTTACTGTCACTCTTTTGTCTTTGTAAATCATGCATTTTTCTTTATTTATTGGCTACACCAATGTTGGACTAGACCTAACTAAATAGGGTAGGCTGCGCTCACGGACCCCTTTCGGACAAGCTGGTTCTTATTCTTGTAATAAAAATCAATATTTTTCATTTAAAATTGATTATAAAATATATAAACAATAATTAACTTTGACAAGGAATTTCAAAATGCACATTATTAAAAAAAATTAAAATATTTAGAGGTTGAAACTAAAATTTTTAGATTATTTGAAAATTTTAATCTAATTTAAGTCATGTTCGTAGCTTATTAAGCTAACCAAGATGATATTTGTGAGCATGCTTCTGGAGAATTCAATGGGCAATAATGCATATATCGTAAAGAGTATATATTATATATATAGAATACTAAAAAAGGGCCATAACTTTTATAATATGTTTTGTCATTATTGCTATGGTTATTTGGGAAAAATAGTAGGGTTGTTGATAAAAAAAACAGTGAAGGGGGGAATGTGTAGATTCACGTGAATTAGTGGACAAAAAATGGTGTCCCTTTGCTACAAAAAAGTTAGTCTGGTTTCCCAAATCAGTGCAAATGAAGCCAAACACTTCAAAACTATTCCCAGTGGTAGTGGAGACCAACAAAAAAGATAAATTTAAATGGATCATGTTTATCTCCCTCTTTCTTTCCAACAATCAAATTATTTTTAAAATAATAATAATAATAATAATAATAATAATAATAAGGATAAACTATGTATTTAATCACTCATTTATTCTCGTAATTCTATTTTGATCATCAACTATTTTTTTCTCAAAATTATACCTAATTTTATATTTTGATTCTGTTTTAGTCACCTATTGTTAAAAAAAATTAAACATTGATACCGATGTGTAACCATAAGATAATGACACATTGTCATTGAAAAATTATCACATCAACAATTATGTTTACTTTTTAATTATGGATGGCCAAAACAAAATCACAGGAATAAGTGAGTGACTAAATACATAGTTTACCCAGACAAAAAATAATATCATCTTTCTGTTCATTTTATCCATCTCCGTCTTCTGCTCCATTTCACCACATTTTTGTTTTAGCAAAGACTAGTGGTTGATGGAAAAGTTAGAGAGGCGTCGGCAGTTGGCTTGGCTTCTTCTGGGGAAAAAGTAGCATAGGGGCCTTATTGTTTTTTAAGATTCTTGCGCGTTATAATAACAGTGAAAGGTTGGTGGAGGTTTTTTTTTGCAGAATATCAATGTCAACCTCTTCTCTATCTCAATACCTCTATTTCGTTTTCTCATCCTCCTTGCCTTAACCTCTAGGGCAACTACCTTCAACCCTTGTTTTTCATTTTTATTTTCTTTTATATTTGGGTGTTATTAGCTATGGAGGTGCAGGGCAGAAGGAAGATGTTGAGGTTCTTGGTCATGTTGGTTTTATTTTCCATGGAGATGGCAGTACCCTCAACTGCCAGCAGAAGCAAAAGCAACTTATCTACTCAAAACCATGAGGTTCAAGCCCAATTGAAGCTCTTGAATAAGCCTGCTGTTAAATCTATCAAGGTCGGAATTTGATTTTATGAACAACTCAGAAGCTCCCTTTCGATATCTAATTGAATTCTGTCCAGTTTCTTGTGTTGGTTACTTAAAAGTAGTTAACTGCTAATAAATCGTCGATTTGGACGTAAATTTTGTTATCTAAGATGATTCTCCTTTGTTAATCCACTTCATGTGTGTGTTGAGCAGGGTCCAGATGGAGATATAATTGACTGTATCAAACTTGCCCACCAACCTGCTTTCGCTCATCCATTATTCAAAAACCATAAAATCCAGGTTTATTCCTCTTATTTAACATCCATTGTTTGACGATGTTACTTCCTTCCATCCATGGTCTTCTAAAGGTCGTCTTCTATTTCAAATTTCCAGATGACCCCAAACTTTCACCCGGAACGTGCTTTTGCTGAAAGCAAGGTTTCCTCGAATACGGAACCGGGTTCGTCCCGGAAAATTACCCAGGTGTGGCACTTGAATGGAAGGTGTCCAGAAGGAACTATTCCCATGAGAAGAACTAAAGAAGATGATTTGTTAAGAGCAAGTTCTGTCAAGGCATTTGGGAAAAAGAGGCACAAAACCATCCCTCAACCAAGGTCTGCAGATCCTGACCTCTTCAGTCAGAGTGGTCATCAGGTAGCATACTTTCTCATGGCACAATTCAGGGCTTTAAACAATTGAATTCCCTGTAAAGACCTATATTAATTGATTATTGCATATGATTATAATCATCATGAACATGAAATTGATATATGCTGTACAAATGTTCCTTTTTCATGGGTGGTTGCGGCCTTGATGCAGCATGCAATAGCTTACGTGGATGGGGACAAGTACTATGGAGCTAAGGCAACCATTAACGTTTGGGAACCCAAAATACAGCAGCCTAATGAATTCAGCTTGTCTCAAATCTGGTTATTGGGAGGATCATTTGGTGAAGATCTCAATAGCATTGAAGCAGGCTGGCAGGCACTACCTTCTTACCTAACAACTTCAAATTATTTTCTTTTTGACTCGATATTTAACTCATTGGAATGTCTTTGTGTACAAATTAATAATAGATTAGCCCAGATCTATATGGAGATAACCACACTAGACTCTTCACTTACTGGACTGTAAGACTAAACTCATTCACTACTCCTTTGATGCAGTTCTATTCAAGTGTTGTTTAACTCTGTTTGCTTTATTACTAAACAACAGAGTGATGCATATCAAGCCACTGGTTGCTATAATCTACTTTGCTCGGGCTTCATTCAGATCAACAATGAAATAGCAATGGGTGCAAGCATCTACCCTATTTCTGGTTATCATAGTTCCCAATATGATATAAGCTTACTCGTGTGGAAGGTAAGGATTAAGAAGCTACTCATAAAACAATCCATCGGAAAGCATCATTAAAATACGATTGAGATAAATACTCATAGTCTGTGATCTGTTAATAAAGCATGATGAACATCAAATATGTATATCCATGAGTGTATGAAGTGTCAAGTGTGCATGTGTTTTTATCTCCAAATGATTTTAAAGCAGTGCACAAACGGCTGAAAATGTGGCAGGATCCTAAAGAGGGGAACTGGTGGCTGCAATTCGGTAACAATTACGTGCTGGGTTATTGGCCGGCCTTCCTATTTTCCTACCTATCAGACAGTGCATCCATGATTGAGTGGGGAGGAGAGGTTGTGAACTCAGAATCAGATGGACAGCATACATCCACACAAATGGGGAGTGGCCATTTCCCCAATGAAGGTTTCGGCAAAGCTAGTTACTTCAAGAATATTCAAATTGTTGACGGATCCAACAATCTCAGGGTTCCTAAAGGCCTTGAAACCTTTACCGAGCAATCCAGCTGCTATGATGTAGAAACCGGAAAAGGTGGAAATTGGGGCAGCTACTTTTACTATGGTGGTCCGGGTCGGAACCCTAACTGCCCTTGAATCATTTAAACCATAAGAAAAAAAAGAGGCAACCAAAAACTGTTGCTCATAAGAATATTCATCATGCCAAGTGATGCCCTTCTTCTTCATGTTTAAGTTAGACTAGTAACTCGGTGAATCATGTTGCCACCTCTAGATAGTAGCAGTACAGGTTTATATCACCCTATTTACTCTGCCAAAGATTTGTTGTGAGATAGTGAGGTGTTCCTAGCTGATATTCTTTGTTTGGACATACAATTGTATATTTCGTTTTTCCTTTGTACGTGTTATTAATTCTCTAGTTAAGCAATATAAGCACTTGGCCTAGCTATTCTTAAAAGCCTAGCTATTCTTAAAAGATCATTCTCTATGATTCTACAGAAATGATATCACTTCAACAACTTTCAAATCATTACCTCCGAAGCCTCCCGGGCCATCTAGTCAGCACAATGATTAACTTGACCATTAAATGTAAGAAATCCTACAATCAAAGTCTTTCTCCACGGTACCATTTTAATATCATTCAAAACCATCACACAGAATAATAATAATTATAAAACACAAAGAATAATAATAATTATAAAATCTATTTAGGCTACCAATTTCCTTTGCAACAATACATGAAAGTCAGACGGTTTGCACAGTGTAACCAGAATGACTAGTTCAACCAGATACCAGAGGATTGTCTTGTCTGACATCAATACATTATATATAAACTGGTACAAACCAGAAGAAAAAATATACTTATTTTTCTAAGTGAAATATTGAACTCGTAATATCTTCGAATTATACCAAAAATTACACCTCTAAACCAAATACATGTTTTTATTAAATATTTACTTAAACTTACTTGACAAATAAACCAATCGGGTACAATTGGTTAGATAGGGTAAGATCACACCATTGACCTGTGATCCAGTTCTTTCAACCATGGTTCTAGTGATAAGGGATCTAGATACAATTTATTTACTTCTAATTTAAGCTTTTGATTTCGCATTTGGGTCTTAGTCTGATGCTGGAAAAGAATATAGGTTCAAGTCATCCACTGTTACAATTGTTCAGGATACCATCGTGTATTTGACAACAGACCATGCACATAAACTATAATCATAAACAGAACAATAAACTTAGTCCACATCACATGATAAGTTTCAACTCTCACAACCATCATTTCAGCCAGCAAATCTTTCAATATAAAAAGAAAATGTAGTACCCCAAAGGCAAGCGGGCGGGAATGTTCGAGGCGTAAGGGAGACAGTAGCAAGATCAAACCCAATTTGTACAAAAACTAATAAAAACCTATACGCACCGAGGAAATAAAAGACTTGTAGTGTTAGCTGTAAGCCAATGATTTATACAAGTAACCAAGTACATGGAGAAAGACTTACTGGCTTTCTAGTGTGATGGAAAGAACCTACCTCCTCAGTATCCTTTGCATTGAGTGTGGCTGATGTTGAGCATGTTGACCATGAGTTGGTCCGCTAGGTGGTATTGGAGCAGGAGTGCTCTGAATATGTGATATATCAACACCTAGAGAATTCAATAATGAAAAAAGGCGTCCCGATGGTGGTGGTGGTGCTGGGACAGGATAGGATAACCCTTGAAAACTTGATAAAATTGGAACAGAAATAGTAGGACGCATGACTGGAACACGGGATGTTGAGCTAACTAAACTATGAGAAAGAGGGATACTATAAGACGCTTGTGGTTGTGGTACAAAATGAGTGGATAAATGACCCCTATTTTCACCAAAAATTTTCCAATCCCTCCTGCTATTCTCCGGATCTTTCCTTTCCCATTGAATGCTTGGTGGAGGTTTAGGGGGTACATAATGAGTGGATAAATGACCCCTATTTTCACCCAAATTATGCCATTCCCTCCTTTTACCCTCCGGATCTTTCCCTTTCAATCTAATGCTTGGTAGAGGTTTAAGGTGTTCCCCAATTACTTCCCTGAACTGCGCTCCTGCCCGCTTGCCCCCAAGATGCGCCCCTTTCCATCGTTTAACACCCTTGGATTCATCCAGGCCTGTAAAATGCCTCTTCTTTGTTTGATGGGAGCCATGCTGAACAAGAAACTGTTGTTTACTTTGATTTTCTGCACCTTTTAGTCCTTCTGTTAATTGGATCTTCTTTATTTGGTTGGAGCTATCGAGGACAGAGAGCTTGGTTGTACTTTTATCCAGATTTATAGCAACACTACACTCTACACTGGACAGGGTTTTTGCTCCTTTTAGGTCTTCTGTTAATTGGATAGAGTTATTAGGGACAGAGAGCTTGATTGTACTTTTATCCAGATTTATAGCAACACTATTCCCTACACTGGACTGGGTTTCTGCTCCTTTTAGGTCTCCTGTCAATTGGATTGTGTTATTGGGGACAGAGAGCTTGGTTATAGTTTTATCCAGATTTATAGCAACACTATTCTCCACACTGGACTGGGTTTCTTCTCCTTTTAGGTCTTCTGTTGATTGGATAGAGTTATTGGCGACAGAGAGCTTGGTTGTACTTTTATCCAGATTTATAGCAACACTATCCCCTACACTAGAGGTGGTATCTCTACCAAACAAAAGTTCTTTTAGATTAGTTCCCAACATCTGACCTTCTGAAAAAGCCCCAAGATAATGAAGCGAACGATGGATGGAGCTATGTATTTTTTCAAAACCTTGCATTCCAACAGCCCTTGCAACATTTTGAGACTGATCTGTGAAATCCTCGACCTGCCATAAAAAATAGTTATATATTTCAACAACTTAAATACACCATGTCCATAAAACAAAGAAAAAACTGACTTACATGAATACTGCAAAACTCAGAATCCCAAGCTTTATATATCCAAAATCCTTCACGCAAGCTAACACAAAGCCCTTTCTGCCAAAGTTGTTCAACAGAAACAAGCTGCAGCAAGGTATGAAATGCTAAATATATTAACGAGAAATGGAAATTTCTTGTGCCATCTAATGACAAGTGCTGTTTTAATATATAAGAGGCCGACATAGAGGCTTTGCCTTCCCTTCTTGCCACAAACCTTATAACTAGAATCGACATTACCTTAACCAATAGAGTAATGAAAAGCTCTGCTAAGGATTCTTTATTCCTTATGCCATAATTCAAGTAATTTTGGACCATCTTCACTACAGCTTCAGGATCATTTCCGTCTGAAACAATGTCAAGGTCAGTTAAATGACAAAGCAATGAGAAAGTTAGATAATATAAGATAAACATAATTCTTATATCTATAAGCTACAGGGTAATCACCTTTAAATAAAGCAGAAAATGTAGGTAATATGGGTGGATCCCGAGTCTGCAAGAACAAAAATGGATAAGAAAATTGAAAAAAATACAGGCAGGTGCAATCTATACAACCTTGACACCATTATCAAGAAAAAAGACTTATTTGCAAAATATACAGCACAATATACCACTTTGCATTTCTACGTAGACCAACATAATGACATCTTTGTTCACATTTCCAAGTTTTACTTGAGATAGAACACATTCAAACACCAAAGGAACCTACTAGTTCAGGTTTTGACTTGTAACAAATTCTTTATCATGATGTTTGAGACATCCCTTTAGAAGCTAGAAGCATTAGGGACCATATAGATAAGGGACAAAGAAAATCCCAACTCTAGTAGGCAGGGATGGCTGCCGATCCTAAAAGGAGGAATCTGATATCTGATATTGACATCAGTCAATTCTTAGCTTGGCATTAGCTAGCAACTCATGATAAATCTTACACCAAGAAAGGAGCCTCAATCACATGTAATAGACACCAATTAGGCTTTTAAACCTATATTGCAGTGAAACTGATTAATCTATAAAATGAACATAGAGGTGCAATAATGAAAAGGCCAATCCCAACAGATTATTCCGAAAGTTCCAATTAAAATTTTCAAACAAGAGCATTATTCAGCTATTAACTTTCACAGTTCTTTGAGTAGATACGGAGGTAATATTATATGTAACACTTTTTTCTCTCAAACATAAACATCCAAAAATGAAAATTAACACCAGTCAAAATCAAGATGCCCTTCTGTGATGATAGCATATCTGAAAAGTATGAATACCTGCAAATGGAAAGCAACTAATAATATTAATGATAAAGAGTTCAGAGTTTGATCCTTGGAACTGTTAATATCATGGACCTTGGCCCAAGCTTTTACCTGCACATGGAAAATGAACACGTCATACATTTTCCATTTACGCGTGATGGGTGCAAAGATTCCTATATTATGCGGCGCTAGAGAAATTAAATTTAACAGTTAAGGTGGGAAAATGTTTGATAACAAATGGTGGGAAAGCAGATGTTAAATTAATAAAAGTGGGGAATTGGAGGTGAAATAATGAGTCACAAAAGAAGCCAGTTCTTTAAGAATCACGGAGTTCATGAATCATGAAAAGTATTAAAGTGGTAGTTAGATCAAGTGTTGAAGAAGAACCCAGCTATAGCAATTAGGATTTATGAGCTATTGGAACTTTTTTTTTTGATAGAAGTTGGAGGTCTCATTAAAAACTCCCTTCGTATTCGTTCACATACTAAAAGTATGTTAACGAACATTGGAAGGAAGAAAAGAGTACCTCAAATTTTATTGATAATAATACCCGATACAAAAGACACCACGGAATATCCTCTCATGGTGATGTACACCATTACAACAAACACCTTAACCCTATATAACCTCATCCAAAGCCATGTAGCTATATTTTGACAATAAGGCTACCATACCAATATCCCATAATTCATTCCAACACAATCAAATCAAACCAAACACATGGAAATAGATAAATATTCATCAAAGAGAAGTGTCCAAGTTTCCCTTAACTATTTGCCAACAAAATACCAGGTAGCAGATGTTCTAAGTGGAATGATAGCAGGTCCTAAAAGATTTGGTGAGAAAGTTGGGTTACAAAATATTAACTTCCCAACTTAAGAACATTCACATTCTTCAAGTCACAGAAAATAATGCAGCAACTTTGGCAGTAGACAAACTTAAGCAAAAAAACTGAAATAAATTGCTAGTGCAGAAAAAAATTAACGAAGTCAATATATACCCGAAAAGTGAGTCACAAATGAAGCTGAAAATTGTAAAAGAAAAGGGGGGGGGAATAAAAGTTTGAACTATCTTCACTCACCAAGAAACTAAGCTTTAGAAACCTTTCATCGATTGTAGAAATTGCACGAATAATAAGGGATTTTAAAATACCATCCCTATTCTCAACTGACACATCGCATTCAATCCTAGTTCCACGATCAATGACTTTAACAATCGGCACCCTAGCAGAGAGGATTTTTTGAATGTCACTAACATGACCTCCTCCTAAAACAAATAAAGCAAACTTGTCAGTAAAACTCTTCCATGATCATCTTTAATTCCCTAAACCAACAGTAGTCATCTCCAATAATATGATAAAATAAACTAAAGCCTCATTTTTCTTTCATCCAAGGAAGTGTAAATCATCAACAATAAAAAGGCAAGTTAGTTACTGGCATTTGAAAGCCTTAATAAAGAAATAGCTATTTTGAATATTAATAAGGAAATAGCCTTTCATCAATATGAATCAAACAATGAAAACAGTACAATGTAAAAATACAGATTTTTCTTCTTCCTTTCTAGCAGTAACACTGGAGTTTTCAATCTCTCGTATCCAAATAAATGATAATCTGAACTTTAGAATACACGAGCTCCAAAGAGATGCAACAAATTAGAGCAACACAAGCATCTCAAACAGTCATACTTTCGAATACTCTAGACGTTTAGGACCTTAGGTGCAAAAACTCTTTCAGATGTAGTAGTTCTGCAAAAAAAAAAAAAAACCCTTAAAATACACGTCTAGATGCCGGATACACATTAGTCATATCCATCCTCTTTTTAAATGATAAGAACAAAAAGATATGAAGTTGGTGAACCTTGATGTATACAATCTCATTCGTTTATGGCTATTTTTTGTCTACAAAAAGAAATTGACATTTTTCTTAATTAATCATGTGCTCTTCAATTACTGTAAGGTCTTAATCATTCACTATTCCAATTTGAACACTGCGACTACATTTTGTTTCTGTTCAATGTTAAAAATTTCACCTGTATCTATAATCCCTACTTACAACATTCTTTTGTCTTTTAACCAGAATATTTACTCAATGTAATAGAATGAAAAGGTCTATTTTAAATATTCCTAAAAATGATCCTCAAAGCAGAACATGCTAGCTTATTATTTCTTTTCAAGTTGAATAGCTTTACGAACAGATTTATTTTATTTTGTGGTTAAAAGTTTATCTATGAAATTATTTAGCAAGAACCTAAGCAATCAATTACCCAAATAAGCACGGAAGGAAATTAAGTTTCTATTTAGTGCCTGATTCTCAGAAGTGTAGTAACCTAATCAGTATAAGGTTGACTTTATTTTATTTAGCAGCATGTTATACATAATAATACTAACAGTTTTGCAGTAGAGAAAACATAAAATATGACTAAAATTTGAAATTATTAGTCAGCGGTAAAGAATTAAAGTACTAATGAGTGTTGGGAAATTACTTCTAATGGAATGTAACTTTCTTGCCAGCTTGCGAAGGGCATTAATTTTCTTCACTCTAGAAATCTTATCCCCATTATTTGTAAAATTGATAGATAAGTCTAAATCACTTTCAGCATTGAACATGCCCATTACAAAAGAACCAAATACCTCCACAATAGGAAAACCATTACAATTTCCTGAAAGAAAAAGGTAAATTATCATCAAGATATAAAATAACAGAAAAGTAGAATTAGGGATGAAAGAAACCAAAAACTATTTAATATGTTCAACAATGCTGAATGGCCTTAGAACTATCAAAGCATGGCAAAAATAATATTGGACAGCCACATTCGATTTGACCCATTACTAAATTGTTTATCAACTTAAAAAAGCAAAAAATTCCTTAGCAGGTCATATGATAATTTGAAGAACTATACAAAGGATAAGTTTAGTGCATGCATAGAATTTACAATAATCTGTATAGGCATTTGAAGAACTACAAAAATAGATAATGTCTGGCACATGTATATACAATAATTTATATAGGCTCCATTCAAGTGATCCTTTAAGATGTGTTTTCTGATTTTTTCCCTGAAATTGCTTAAAGGAAAAGTAAAAGATCACAATTGATATAAAATGGGCAAATAACTAAAATGTACCACCAAAACTAAAAGGAGATTTCTATACAGGGAAAAAGAAAAAAATATTTCTGAAAGAATGAATTTCAGTGACAGTTTAAACAACTTTGTCCTTTAAATTTCTTTTAAATTGAGGCTTCAGAATGTTCCCTGCAAATAAAGATTACCATAAATCTCCTTGGCCATGACATTGAAGATGCGAACCAACTCTCTTCGATTATCGTAATCAATTGGTTTTGGTGAGCGACTGTTGTAAACCTCATTAAGCATTTCATCGAGACTAGAAGCAGAAGCCAGAGCAATTTTATGCTTCTCTAAGCCTTGCATCTCAAGGTTCTTGGCTTCAAGGAGCAATGCAGTGGTGAAATTTAAAGCATTATAAAAATAACTAAAATGTATAATTATCAATAATCCTCATGAGATTGAAGTTAAATTTTGCACCTGCTAAAAGGGTGAGTGTGAAATCTTATTTCAAGTAAATCAAAAGCTAAGTTTAGGTTTTCATAGATACTAACTTTAGCATATCACTAGCATAAAATGGAATGAATTGTTTGGTGGATGTTCCAAAATGCAATAAAGCTTTACTAATGAAGATTCCTCATTCACAAGCCTAAAGTCATCTTCAAAGTGTTCATAAAATTTCCCAATAATTTTACTAAAGAGAATGCTAAATTTTACCAAATTTATCATAAATCTATGAAAAGATATCATTAAAAAAACATCTGAGACCAAACATAATTTACCATAGAGAAGAATTGCATCTAAAGCTATGGCTAGATAACTCACCCTCCGTGCTTGATGTCATGCTTCCGGAATCCTTAATACCAAAACGAACAGGCTTTTTCACCTGAAAACTAACCACAACTGGATTTCAAATCTGAATCTACAGAAACGGAAAACAGGTTAAAAAGTTAGTATCGAATCTCCAAACTCATTAAAATTAACTGCAATTTGATAGAAACTTCGTTCATTAACATTTGAAATTAGCCTAATACAAAGAGATAATCCAGCGACAATAAGCTCTAAGCTGAAAATTGATGATGGAAAAAAGGAGGAAGAAATTTACCTAAAAAATTCACCTGAAAGAGGCTTTCCCCTTTACTGTCGAATAGAAGAAAAGCAAGAGCAGTAATTAAGGTAAGGAATGGAACTTACAGATAAAGGGTATCGCATTGTGGACTCGCAAACTGTCAATTGTTTTAACCGCCGTCAGTTCCACTATTAATGCTTCCCCGCTTCGCAATTCTCTTATGCCCTGCATTTTAACCGTCGCTTTGATTTTTTTTTCTTTAAGAAGATAAAACAATTACGTATTTTTTTATTGGCTTTGTAGTGTGTACCCCCGCTAGTGGTGATTTTAAAATTCGGTTTGAAAAGGTAAATCATTTTTTAATATATGAGTTTTTAATTTGTGATTATTTATTGAATAAATTTTAAAAATAATTTTTTTATTAATATGGAGTAATTACAAAATAATATTTCTTTAAAAATAAACTCAATCTTTCGACATTTTGAACGCTCATATTTCTGATATTTATGGTGTCCAAATTCGGGTTCTCAAAGAATAACAATAATTTTTTTATCACAGAATTTACTTGATTCGTGTTTTTAAAAATAAACATAAATTATTTTATTAATATAATAAATATGATATAATTGTGCAAATTGTTACAATAATGCTCCCATCAAAATTATTTTAAGATATATGGTTGGTAGAAAATTATTAAGAGTTTATGATATTTGTTATAGTAAATTAGGAATTATCACATGAACATGACGAGTTTTATAAAGTATAAGAGTCTATTCGGTTCTAAAAAACATGTATTATTTTTATTTTTTTACAAATATAAAATACCAAAGAAAATACATTTGGTTGAAAATTTTAAAAAAATAATTTATAGAAAATAAAAAAGTGTGACCGTGAAAACATAAAAAATATATTTTTAATATTTTCATTAAAATTATTTTAAAACTTTAAAAAATTTAAAAATACAAGATCTAATTTACACAAGTTCAAATTATTCTAACAACAATTTTTTATCTAATGATAACTAAAACTCTCTAACTTTTATTAAAAGAAAATCAATATGATCATTTGTATTTTTTCTACATTCAATGTGTTTCTTATACGAAATATTTTTTATAATTTACTTTTTAGTATTTTTATATTTTAATGTGTTAAACATCTTAATATTTTTTATATTTTATATTTTAAACTTAAATAATATCTTAATTTTCTAAAAATATTAAATAAGTCCAAAAATTTTCTAAAAAATAGTTAAACCATTGAACTTAATAAAAAAATAATTAAATTTATCTGTCAAATTATCGTCCTTAGTGTACTATCATAACAACATCATGAACTTCGTATCAACATTGTAGATTGCCATATAAGTTTTGTGAGCGCCATGATGATTTAATTATGTTAGTCAAAGGATTAGGTAAAAATACTTTCTCTGTTTACGGATCATAATAAGCGTAAAAAAATTCAAGGGCTATACTAGTTTTTTTAATTAAAACCTTAAATACCACTAAATATATATATATTATTTTAATGACATTTCTGTGTGTTCTAATTTACACCAATGTTTTTGTAATTTTTTTTTTTAAATACCACTAAAACTTTTTCAGTTTACGATGAGAGATCAAAATGAAATTAAAATGTAATGTTAGTAATGATTTAAAAGATAGTCGGTATATAAAAAACAAAACTAAAGTGATAGTTGAGTGACTAAATATGTTTAGTATCTAAACTTTATTTTTATTCCATTTTGGTACTCAAATTTTTTTCCCTTCAAAACCATACCTAATGTATAGTTTAGGTTTTAATTTGGTACCCACCATTAAAATATTAAAAAAACTGATGGTGTAACATTTTTTTTCAATGATGATATAGTATTATCTTATGGTGACACGTCAACATCACTGTTAAGTTTTTACGGTAAGATACCAAATGAATCCTAAACTATTAAAAATATAAAGTTTAAGTGGCAAAACAGAATAAAAATAATAATTTAGGCTGCTAAACATGCAGTTTACCCATTAAAATAAACAAACTATTCAACTAAACTAAGCCCACTGGAAACTAATGAAAGACGATCTACTTGTAACAAAACGGCGACCGTGAGTCAGCGTAGAAAATGTTTGGAAGAAGAAAAGAGAGAGAGAGATCGGCATTTTGACCAATTCGCCCAATTTACGTTCTGCCTTGTCCAACCTGCCACCTGCTTGCCTTGCGTTGATGTACAAACAGTGGAGAGAGAAACATTACAATCTTATTTTTCTATTATTTTTAAGTATAAAACACATTAATTCCTTGACGCGGGATGGCATTGGGTGGACTTTCACTTCTTTCTTTGAAAAATTCTAAGCTTCTTCTTTGGTTGGGTATATGCTGGTAAGATAACACCTTCTTCTTCTTCGTCTTCTCTCTCTCTCTTTTTTTAATTATTCTTTTTTTGGGTATAGTTTTAATGTTGGAGTGGAATAATAATACTAATCAGGAGAAGCTGAACAATGGGCGGGATTTGTTCGAGGAGCGGCGTCAAAGATGATGGGTTTGGGAATGGCTATGGCGGTGGTAATCTCAACCATTATCAGAGCAAGGACATTCCTGTAAATGTCTTGATGAATCCACCCGAAGTGAGTGAAATCGCGGAGAAGAGAATCGAAGAATCTGCTGATGATTTCTACGATGGGATTCCCCGTTTTACAAGGGACATGTCCCAGAAATCTAGATCTGTTAGGTCCACCCAGGCTGCTGTTGCCAAGGTAATCCTCAAATTCTTCTCTTTTATAAATTTCTCCTTTTAACTTCATTTTAAATTAGCTCAAGCTTCGGCTGCCACCATAGTTTCGCTGTTGATTCTTTATGTGATGTTTCCATTTCCGACAGAACAAGTTGAATGAAAACTAAATATGGAAATCAATATAAATATATATGAGTGGATAAATCCCATTAAAAAGTTTAATTGAAATGAGTATTTTGTACACAAAGCTCAGTCGTTTGTTGATGGATTAAGCAAGAGTTTCAATTACTATATTGCCTTTATATTTTGGATATATATTCAATTTAATAAAATCCATTCGTACATCAGCTTTGATTTCTCTTTTCCTTTAAGGAATTCTACTGAACCATAGCCGATTTATATTTATCCTAAATATTGTAGGCATTGATGCTAATTTCATCAGAAACCTTATAAATGATCCTGCCCTTAACATTGCAGGTTTCAGAGGTCAGTTCCCGTTTAGGCAAAGCTGGATCAGTTGGACTAGGAAAAGCAGTGGAGGTATTGGATAGTCTAGGGAGTAGCATGACAAGTTTAAATCCTAACACCGGATTTGCTTCTGGAGTAACAACTAAAGGCAATGAACTTTCAATATTAGCCTTTGAGGTTGCAAACACGATTGTTAAGGGTTCAAATCTTATGCAATCCCTTTCTAGAAGAAACATAAGGCATTTAAAAGAGGTGGTGCTGCTCACCAATGGTGTTCAAAATTTAGTATCTAAAGATATGGATGAACTCTTAAGGATTGTTGCAGCTGACAAAAGGTATATAACTATCAACTACTCATGATAATTCTTTCAACTAACCTTGTTTCCGTTTTGTGTCTATCCTTTTAGTTTGTTTAAGAAGTGTCTTCTTAAAAACCTATGAACTCATGCTTAACTTTGTTGTTAAGAATCTGTTTAACTCCATATATGCAGGGAAGAACTGAAAATTTTATCGGGAGAAGTAATTCGTTTTGGAAACCGTTCAAAGGATCGTCAGTGGCATAGCTTGGAACGTTATTTTGAGAAGTATGGATGTTATATAGTAGTTCAGTGAATATTATTTTCAATGTGCTAATGGGCTTTGTTTTGAGTGATGCATTTGTTTCTCATTTTCCAGAATCAGCCGAGAACTTTCACCTCAGAAACAATTGAAGGAAGAAGCAGAATTAGTAATTGAGCAGTTGATGATTTCAGTTCAATATACTGCTGTAAGTTTTGTGATTCACGTCACTGAGTATCAGTATAGTTTGTATAGATTTATATTTCTATTTAGTTTATTGTTTTTCTTTTATATTCAAAGAGTTCAAACTATCATATTCTTGTAAGGAATTGAGTTTCCATGGGAACTTCAAAACCTGACTTTCAAACAATTGCAAAAGATTGACCTATAACTTAACATGGCAAAAGCATTGAAACGTATTTAAATTATTCCGATTACAGAAAATCTGGAATTTTCCAAAAATAAAACTCTTAATTGCTGAAAAACTCAAACAAATAAAATGCTCCATTCCCTAGTTCACAAGCAGTTTGAAAAAAAAAATAAGAGACTTAATGCTGATTGTTCTAACCTATTAGATATTAATGAGCTCAACATTAAATAATCTCCTTATTTGAGGTTCTCCGTTGTATTTAACCTTTTATTTCCTTGAATAAGTACTATTAATCATGGTGTACTAGGAGGCAACATATCATAGGCACTTTTTGTTCAATGTTCTTCGTGCAATGTATTATTGTTTTGGACCAGTACTAAATAGATTGGAAACTATAAGAAGGATAAACAGAACTGCTTTTTTTCACTGCAGGAACTATACCAGGAATGGCAGATTCTGGACAAATTTGAGCAAGATTACTTGCGTAAGCGTCAAGAGGAAGATAATTCTGCTGGCACTCAGAAAGGTGACTTCTACATCTCCTTTGGATGCTTGTATATAATTTCTTTAAGTCGCTCTTGATTTGAGATGTTGCTTTAGTTGTAACCTAAGCTATTGACGATCAAGAAGTATTTTGTTCTGAATTTAGGTTCAATTATTTGCAAGAGCACATTATCAAGTTATTCATAGAATTAGAAAATAATCAAATATGAAAAATATATAACAGATAGTATTGATCATAAGAGCTTCCTTGTTGGAGATTTTTGTAAAATGACCATGAAAGATGATATATGCCTTGTGTAATTGTGCATAAGATGAATGCTTCTGAAATAAACATGTTGGAATGAGATTGTGGTTATAGAAGAAAAGACAATTAAAAGATACAGTCCATAAATTGAGAACAAGCTAAGAGTGGTATTTTAGTCTTTGGATAAGAGTTGTCAAAAATAAAGGAGTTCCTTTATTTATGTGGCACAATTTTGGACACAAAGGCTACA